AAGCCGTGCGGCTACTACGAGGACTACGGGTCCCAGGACGAGCAGCTCCTCGAGATGGTCATCGCGGTCGGCGACGGCGCCGCGCTCGTGCTCGAGCCCGCCCCTCGGAAGGGCAGGGCGCGTGGGGCCCCGGCCCAGTTCCAGCTCGCCAAGGCGTCCGAAGCGGCCATCCACAACGAGAACTTGGACAAGTACGTCGACCGGGCCGCGGCGGGCTCATCTGCCTGAGAATCGGCGCCGAAACGCGCGCGCCGCGCGACGCCGCGGTCGACGCGCGGACGCCTCGCCGACCGCAGCACGTTCCACGTGGTTTATCGCACGGACCCGCCTTTGCCCACGCCGTTTATGGTCCTAATGACGCCTCTTTCCCCCGTGGCGCGGGCCGCTACTCGGCGGTCCGTGCGCGCTGGGGCCTATGTGTCCGGCCGTGTCCCCACTGATCTGATTTTGGATGTGATGAATCCCATCCTTCATCGCGTAAATCGGCGTCGATGACGGCTCGCTTTGGCGCTTCAAAGTCGGCGTGTGTATCTGGTTCCCCTCGTCTACTTTTTACTCGCGGGGGGCGACCTGGCTCAGGCTCATCGACAAGAGCGCCTCGAGCTCGCCATCGCCCATGGAATTGAGCTCCTGGCGGTGCTGCGGCGTGAGGATCGCGAGCGGGTCGCTCATGAAGACGGCCACGGGGTCGACGGCCACGGGGTCGACGGCCCGCGCCGCCGGCCTGCCGCGCACCGGGTCGCGCCGCTTCTTCTGCTTCGCGGGCGCGCAGGTCCGGAAGGCGTGGTCGACGTCAGAATCCGCGACGCTGCTCAAGCTCGCGAGCATCGTCGCGATCTTGCGCGCGACCGTGAGCGGCACCGCCAGAAAGCAGCCCGACTCGTGCTTGTAGCTCCGCCCGCCTGTGTCCTTTTTGACGACCTCGACCGTGAAGCCCGGGACCTGGGGCACGATGGCGTCGAAGACCGCGCGGGGCGTCAGGGTCGGGTCGTCCGCGTGCTTGGCCGCGAACGCCGTCGCGTCGCGGAAGGAGAGCAGCGCCACCTCGCCCGAGTCGTGCTTGTAGCGCAGCAGGCCCGCCTCGGAGACGACCTCGGTCGTGAAGCGCGGGACCTGGGCCACGATGGCGTCGAAGACCGCGCCGGGCGTCAGGGTCGGGTCGTCCGCGTGCTTGGCCGCGAACGCCGTCGCGTCGCGGAAGGAGAGCAGCGCCACCTCGCCCGAGTCGTGCTTGTAGCGCCGCACGCCCGCCTCGTTGACGACCTCGGTCGTGAAGCGCGGGACCTGGGCCACGATGGCGTCGAAGACCGCGCCGGGCGTCAGGGTCGGGTCGTCCGCGTGCTTGGCCGCGAACGCCGTCGCGTCGCGGAAGGAGAGCAGCGCCACCTCGCCCGAGTCGTGCTTGTAGCGCCGCACGCCATTCTCGTTGACGACCTCGGTCGTGAAGCGCGGGACCTGGGCCACGATGGCGTCGAAGACCGCGCCGGGCGTCAGGTTCGGGTCGTCCGCGTGCTTGGCCGCGAACGCCGTCGCGTCGAGGAAGGAGAGCAGCGCCACCTCGCCCGAGTCGTGCTTGTAGCGCCGCCGGCCCGTCTCGGTGACGACCTCGGTCGTGAAGCGCGGGACTTTGAAGGAGAAGCCGCCGCGCGCCCAGACGACGAGTTGCGACGGAGGTCGCGCGCCGTGGTCGTCGCCGCCGTTGCCGTCGACGGCCACCGCCTCCGGGGGTTCCACCGCGGCGTCCTGGTCGTCGTCATCGCCGCAGAAGCCGTCGTCGTCGTCGTCGTCGTCGTCGTCGCCGCCGCCGTCGTCGTCGTCGTCGTCGTCGGCCGCGGCGTCGTCCAGCTCCTCGCCGCCGTCGGCGAGCGCGGCGCCGGGGTCGAACGCGACGCCCGAGTAGTTGAGCAGCCCGATGGCGCGCGAAAAGGCGCCGACGGCGCCCACGCGCGCGGCCTTGCAGGCCTGGTTCAGCGACAGGTGCGCGCACTGCTCCACGGTGACGGGCGTCTTGTCGCTCGGGAGGAGCTTCTCGATGTGGTTCCACGCCCGCTGGGCGCCGCGGGAGGAGAGCACGACGGCGTAGTCGCCTTTGATCAGGCGCAGCAGAGCGCTGTTGATCTCGGCGCTCGGGTCGCGGAGCGCGGGCGCGGAGGTGATGTCCGTGAGCGCGGACCGCGGGTTGAAGCGGAGCTGCACGAAGCGGCCGTCCTCCTCCTCCTCGAGGACCGTGTGCGAGAACAGGCCCTGGTCCTCGCCCGGGAGCACGCACGCCTCGAGCACCAGCAGGTAGAACGGCATGATCGTGCCGATGCTGCTGATGAGGTCGAGGATGCGGCCGAGCTCCTTCGTCGTCGCCGCGCGCCGGTTGAACGCGTCGTCGGGCTTCTGGCCCCGGAGCGCCACGAGCAGCACGACGACGAGCACCGTGTCGTTGCCCTGGGGGCTCGCGCCCGGGACGAACTCCGACACCTTGATGAGCTCGACGGCGAACCGCGTCCCGGTCGCGGTGACGATGTCGCTGAGGTGCTTGACCGCGTCCTCCAGCGACGGCGTCGGGTTCTGCTGGCGGAAGTCCTCGAACTCGACGGCGTACCGGGCGACGCGCGCGCGCTCGCCGCGCGGCTTCCGCTGGTAGCGGTCGAGCCCGTCGAGCTCCTTCAACGCGACGCTCGGGGGCGAGTGCACCGCGTGGGCGTACATGTCGTCGACGCTGCTGACCTGGTCCCGGCTCGCGAGGCGCTGCGCGACCTCGGCGACGCCCTGGTCTTTCAGGACGAACCGTCCCGCGTTGTCGCGCAGCAGCTGCCCGTCGCCGTCGAAGGAGCCGCCGCTGCCGAACGCTCGCTTGAAGCCGTCGCGGTGCTCCGGCATGGCGCGGCGCGCCGCGGCGGCGCGGCGGAGGTGGCCCGGCGGCGGTGAGCGCGGCGGCGGCGCGGAAGTGGCGCGGCGGCGGCTGGCGCCTGCGAATTCGTGGGGTTCGCGGCGGCCGGAAGACGCGCGAGGGGGCGCGCGACGTGGCGCGCCGTCGGCGGCGTGGGGCGGGGCGCGCCCCGGCCCTCGACGGTGGACGCGGGGCGGCGTACGGCGCGGGGGCTGCGCGAACGACGAGCAGTACCCTCGCAGATCGACGAGGCCGATTATCGAATCGATGGCACCGGGCTGCACCATTAAACAGTGGCAGTCAAACATGGCCGAATGAGCTTGTCGTTGCCTTCGGCGAGTGCTTGTGGCAGCTCCGGCGTGCGGCGCAATCGGCCGCGCGCCGCCAGTGCTGACAGCGCGCCTCCGGGAGCGCTCGAGGCGCCCGCGGTCGCGACCACCTTACCGCTGCTGAACGTCTTTGGAGGAGGCGATGCCGACGTGCGGCGGAGCCGCGGCGCCGGCGGTTGACGCCTCGCCGCGGGCCGCGACGCAATCTGCCGCGCGCCGCCGCGGCGACGCCGTGCGCCGCTCCGAACGCGTCGCCCACGGCGACGGGCGCCGGCACGACGAGCGCGGCGCGACGGGGCCCGCCGCCGAGGGCCGCCGCGCGGAGCCGCGGCGCCGGCGGTCGAGCGCCGCCGCGGGCCGCGGCGCAATCTGCCGCGCGCCGCGGCCGCCGCGCGGCGGAAACGCTCGCGCGCCGCCGCCGCGGGCCGCGGCGGAAACGCTCGCGCGCCGCCACGGCGCCGTGGTCGATCGCGGCCGAGCGCGGCCGAGCGCGGAGCTCTTTGGCCGAGATGTCCGAGATCTCCTGCGAGAGCCTCGAGGCCCGCGCGGATGTGGGCGCGGCGGCCGCCGGCTCCGGGGCCCGGTATGCACGGGCCCGCCGAGGACGCCGGCCGCCGCACCGCGGCGTGCTCCGGGACCTGCGGCGCGACCTCCGCCGCGAGGCGCTCGCCGCAGCCGACGCGCTCCGCGAGGTGCGCGCGCGCGAGCTCGAGGAGGGCTTCGCCGAGGCGACGGAGGTGCGCCAGCGCGAGGTCTCCGAGCTCGAGGCGCGCGTCGGCGACGACGTCGAGGCCGCGCGTTCGACGCGCGGCTCGCGGACGAGCTCCGCGCGCGCGACGACGGCCGTTGCTCCTCGCGCCGCCAGCGGCGCGGGCGCCCGGTCCGGTGCTGGACGACGCCGAGGCGGCGGACGCGGCGCCGCCGCCGGAGCCGCGGACGCCGCCGCCGCCCCCGGCCGCGCCATGCTCACGGCGTCCTGGGCGACGGCGACGCGCGAAAGCTCCGCGCCTCGCGCCTCGCGCTTATGCCCTAAGTACGCGTGCCACGACGCGGGGCTTATGTGGCCGGGCGCGCGCGGCGCGTCGGCCGCGGAGCGCGTGCACCCCCGCGTCGGCCGGCCGCGGACGCGCGGCGTCGCAGATCCGCGGCCACGGGCTCGCGGACGCGCGAAGGGCGCCTGGGCCGAGGGTCGTGGCGGTCCGGGCAGGAGCCACGGCGGCGCGGCGACGGGCACGCGTCGGCGGCGCCCCAGGCCGGAGCGCGTTCTCGCCGCCGTCGGCCGCGACGAACGCGCGCGCGGCCCAGGCCGTCGTCGCGCTCGAGGCCGTCGTCGGTGGCGCCCAGGACGTCGCCGTGGGCCGCGGCGACGGCGAGCTCTCGAGCGCGCCGGCCGTCGCCGCGCGGCGGGCCGGCGCCGCCGCGGCCGGAGCGCGTTTCGGAGCGCGCGCACGAACGCTGCGCTCTGGCTGGTCGAAGAAGATACGCGTGTCCGTGATGCCGCTGCGGTCCGCGAGCACGACGTCGACGGGCTGGGCGAGCTTCGCGAGGGTGTCGCGCGCGTCGCCGAACTGCGACGCGCTCTGCATGTCGGTGGAGCGCGGCGTCGAGTTCGGTCCCGTCGCGGTGCGCGATCCGCAGATGAACATCGTCGGCGCCCCAGCCGTCGGCGAGCCCTGCGGCACGAGCCGACAGCCGAAAACGTCGCTCTCGCGCATCTTCGACATCCAGTCGACGCTGCCCGCCTGGGGCAGCCCTGCCCGGCCCGCGCTCGAGCGCCTCGAAGTTTGGCCGCGCCGTGGGCTCGCTGCTTCGTGCCCATGCGCGGCGCGACGTCGCGGCGGCGCGCGGCCGCGAGCGCTCCGCGGCGCGAAGCGCCGAAGAGAAAAATCACGCCAGTTTACGCGCCGTGGCGTCTGCGCGGCAGAGGTCCACGCCGCCATCGTATCTGCCCAACATCTTAAGCTATGGGCAGATACCCTTAAGGTTGAACCGTCTCGAACCAGCCCGTGCGATGGGATGCCACCAGACTTGCAGCCGCGAATGCGAAGCGGCGCGCAATCGGGCCTGCTCAGCGCGGCTCGAGCGCGCGCACGAAGGTGCGCTGCACCGCGGCAGCGGAGAAATTTGGGATTCGTTTTCTGTTCTTGAACTCCGCTCCCACCATGAGGTTGTGGCAGCCTCATGCGGCCCCTACATCGTCGCAATGCTACCGATCCATGAGGTTTCGGTGGCACGACGTCCGCAGGCGTCGCGTGGGACAGTTCGCTCGCCGCGGCGCGGTCGACGTCTTCGGCTCGAGTGAATCATGCCCGCGAACCAGTCGCAGGTCTTACACGGCGAAGTTCCGCAGCGCGCTCTTGCTTCGCTTCGACAGGCCAGGCCTGGGCCCGTCGCCGGGTTCATGGAGTGCTCCTCGCGGTAGAGCGGATGATGGGCCCGACGAGAACTTCAAGTTCGCCAGGGCCAAAAAAAGACGCGTCTTCGGACGGTCTTCCAGCGGTGCCAGCGCGAGATCCACGTTATAGCCTTGAATTTTTTTCGCTCTTTATGGGTCCGGCATTCTACTTGACTCCGGTCCTGGGTTTTGTGTGGGACGCCGCCCCTGGAGGAGCCCTGCGGCAAGTCGGCAGCATCGACCAATCGTTCTCGATGTTTGCCTGAGGCGACGAAGTGCACTATCGATGCAGCCTGCCGGGACGCATGGCCGAGAGCCGAACAGCGGCACGTCGGTGCGCTGCGACAGTCCGCGGAGTCGCCGATGCGCGCGTCACGGCGTAGCGCTGCACGGGATGGCTCCTTGGAGCGGTGCATGCTGCCTTCCACGACCCCTCGTCCCCGACGTCGCTCCCGCTCGCGCTGTCGACGTCGTCGCCGTCGACACGTCCTAGGACGGCGGCGACTGCGGCTGCGAGGCCTGGCCCCTCGCGCGGGGCCACGCGGGCGGCCGCGGCGCGCCGGCGCCGTCCGTCGACGTGAGCCGGCAAGCGACGCGCGGCGGCCGCGCGGCGACGCGGCAGACCCACGTGCCGGACCGCCACCTCCGGGGCCTGCTGCCCGACGCGCTCCTCGACGCCTACGCCTTCTGGCGCAACGCCGACGACGCGTCGCTCTGCGGCTACGCGCGCGCGGCGCCCGCGGACGCCGTCGTCGTCGTCGCGCTCGACGGCGCGTCGGCGCGGCCGCGCGTCGTCGT